GAATATCTTACTCTGGAACCTGGTGTTCTTTTCAGTTCTTTCCCAGACAAAAGCTTTGCTCATTTTAATCAACCACCTTTACATGCAAAGATCACACTATGGATATTTTACTGTTACAACAATGATCAAAGATGCTGGGAGCACAAAAAAAAACAAAAGACTGTTGGAGAACTTTGGTTTACTAATTTAAGGAAGAAATGCGCTACAATGCCCACAGTTTAATGGAGAGGGTGTTATGGGCAAATGCAAATATTACAAGTTTTAGAATGAAATGTTGTATTTCTTAAACTGTGTACTTTGTCTTTAAGAGATATTGCAAACTGACAAGGTGTTAGAAATGGAACATATTGTTTTTCATAACTGTTTCTTTAAGCAATAACCTCAGTGCATAATATGTTTGCGCCATTTTGTCCCAGACGAATTACAATAACAATAATGCATAAACAAGCTTCAAGGCTATGCTATGACTCTTGCAGTACACAATATACTGTGGTAACCCCAAGTTAATGGAACTTCCCCAAATCCGGGAATCTCCCACGACTGTACACTTACGACTTAGTATAAACAACATATAACCTATTCAGACTTTAAGATGCCATCTTGAACTAAGTCAGGAAAATTTCCATGACGTATACACCCTTTAGTTATGGCCTTGTATGTTTGCCAAATTAAGGGAGGTCCTAAATTGAATAAAGTAAAAGAAGTGTTACTTTTTCATATTTGAACTACAGTAACCTAAAATGGAGACATCTGAGGTATAAATAGGTGTACTTTTAAATGTTAAGACACAGAGGAGAGACTTGGAGACAGACGCTGCTCCATCTTAAAAATGACAGAGAGGCTGACATGATGACATGTTCAGAAGGGTATGTTAACCTATTAATGATATTTGCAAGCATGTAATTTAATTTTATAAACTCTGCTATAATGGATTTTATATTTTTATATAATAAATATCCAAAAAGACAATCTTGCTTCCAAGACAATCCTTATTTTATATTGTATTCTCAATTATTTATATATGTTAAATAGAGGATCTCTTACACTATATAAAATTATGGCTAAGATATCTGTATGGTTAGCCCTACTAAGTTCTATGCTTTAAGACATTATAGTGGTAAATAAGGGAACCACACACGGTTACAGGTTAACACCTAAATTATGAAATCTAGCTCTCTGACTCATTGTGTTTCTCAACAATTGATGTAAGGTATCCAGAGGCGTATTGCAATAAAAAATAAAAAATGTATTATGATTGCAAGGTAGGAAAGCCATTTGTATTTAATCTTTTATGGCTACATGGTTTTACTCTGCACTTTACTGAGCCATGAAACTGGTTTTGATACATACTCACAATCAGATCAACCAGGAAAAAGAGCACAAATAGAAAGGAATGCAGCACTTCCCAATTGGTGTTCCACGGAACCCTGGCTGTTCCGCAAGAACAAAATTGGGGTTCCACGTTTCTCCACATGTGCAGATCTGCCCTGGCTGGATCATCCAATGTAATTGGGCAGGAGTCGGGCACCCCATGGAGTAGACACAGTAGCCTAGAGACAAATGATCTGCCCTGCGGAATGATCCACATCGCAAAGTTAAGGTACCCCAATAAAGACTGGAGTCCCTTTCTGGTGCATGTATCACTCCGCAGAAACAGACCGATTTCATCCCTAATGCGGGTCAATTTCTCGGGTGGTAGGCTGGCTTAAAAAGATTCTGTGTCCAAAACGATGCCCAAGAAAACTAGCTTAGTAGAGGGTCCAATCGTTTAACTTGGAGACAGGGGTACCCCTAGTGTAGTGAAAAGTTCTGTGGTGCTGTGAATGCTACTGGGTGTTTGTGAGCCTGGTTCTACCAACAGAAAATAGTCCAAATAGTGGATAACGGACGGGCACCTAACTATGTTTAGGAGCAGCCAACAGAGCGTTTCTGTTAAAATGTCTTAGGGCTGCTCCCAGTGGCGGATCCAGGGGGGGACAATGGGGCAATTGCCCCCCCACCCTATAAAACCAACAGTCTACCTCCCCTGCCAGCACATGCAGGTGCTAGCCCTGCAATGTGCCTGTGGACCGGGGGGAGATCAGAGATCTCCCTCCCCGGTCCGCAGGCACCGTGCTGAGAGCCGGCAGGGGAGGGAGAGGGAGGAGAGAGGACCCGGGAGCTCAGGCTGCAGCTCCTCCGGGTCCTCCTCTCGCGAGATTTGGAGCGTTGCCGCGGTTACCACGGCAACGCTCCAAATCTCGCGAGAGTGAACTCTAGCCCTGGAGCTCACTCCAACCACTAGGACCACCAGGGAATCCCACTGGGACCACCAGGGACGGTGAAATGTCCCCCCTCCTCCTCAATAAAGGTAAGAAGGGAGGGGGGACATAGGATATTTATTTATTTTAATTAAATTAAAAATATATATATTATAAAAAAAAAGCCACCCTACCCTGATCACACACACATACATTGCCCCCAATACTGCCCCCATACACACAAACTGCCCCCATACACACACACTTCCCCCCCATACACACACACACTGCCCCCATACACACACACTGCCCACCATACACACACACTGCCCACCATACACACACACTGCCCCATACACACATACTGCCCCTCATACACACACACTGCCCCCATACACACACACACACTGCCCCCCATACACACACACTGCCCCCATACACACACACACACACTGCCCCCATACACACACACACACACTGCCCCCATACACACACAAACTGCCCCTCCACACACACACAAACTGCCCCTATACACACACACTGCCCTCATACACACACACTGCCCCCTATACACACATATACTCTCCCCCACATACACACACACTGCTCCCCCATATACACACACACTGCACACACTGCCATACACATACACACACTGCCCCACACACATAAACTGCCCCCATACACACACAACTGCCCCCATACACATACACACAAACTGCCCCCATACAAACTGCCCTATACACACACACTGCCCCCATACACACATACTGCCCCACATACACACACTGCCCCCCATACACACACACTGCTCCCCATACACACACACTGCCCCCCATACACACATACTGCCCCCCCATACACACACACTGCCCCCATACACACACACTGCCCACACTCACACATACACTGCAATACTCACACACTGCAACTGTTACACACACATACTGTCCCACACATACACTGCATTCCTGACATACACTGCCGCCCTCACTCACACACTACAACCTTCACACACACACACACACTGCACCCCTTACACATTGCACCACTCACACACACCACTGCTCCTATGCCCTACTACAGCCCCATTTCCCAGCAGATATCAGGTAAGTTGTCAAACTGTTCTTAAACGGTTTGACTACTTACTGTGGGAGGGGGTCCCGGCACTATTGACACCATAACCACTACACTGAGCTGTAGTGGTTATTGTGTCTGGATTATTTCTTTAAATAATCTACAAGTGCCCCTCCCGAGATCAGGCTCTGGAGCCGCCACTGGCTGCTCCTAGACCTAAAAGTGAGCCGGGTAGAAAAATAATACCTGTCCCGCCATTTAACACTGTGTAAGTGCTATAGTGAGGGGTGAATGGGTAGGAGCTTGAAGGCGTTGGTAATGTCGGTCTTGCTTAGCCATGCCTTGTTGCCTGCTGTGATGATGGCTTGCATATCGTCATCAATTTTTGCGTAGTGTAGTGAAAACTCCTAAGCGGGTATGAGAGAGTTTATGCTGGGGATGGAAGAAGAATGAGGTGCTGAGAGGTCGATAATCAATCGATGGGGTTGGTACACCAGGATGAAAAAGGGGATACTGTGAAAGGGCCAATCATGAAACCTGACTTAGTTTCTGTGGACAGTAGGTGGTCCACCGTAAGAGGGTTGTTAGACACTGACAGTAGGTTAGGGCATTCGAGTGTGCCTGTGTGGATGGCAATGAGCCCCTTGTGAAAACCCTGTGAGAAACCCGTCACTAAATATTCTACCAAATGTAGTAAGCCACAACATCTATGTTGACCTCGGTCAGTAATTTTTTTAGGTGAAAGTCGGGCTGGGCCCATGGTCTAGGTATGCGCTCTGAAACATATGGAGCAGACATGCAAAAACCTACATGCTGTCACATCATGCCATGTTCTGCTGAGATGTCTGGCTTTGGTTTCTGGTATCCAGTACTCGTTTTACAATTCTTGTTTAGTTTTTCCAGTTTTTTTGGTTTTCTATTCTATGTCTGGTTTTCTTTATGCTGCGTTTTTCTGGGTTCATTCCTGTAATCCGTCCCTGGAATTCCCAGTGTCCAAGTTTCCTTTAAATGTTTGTTTTATGTTGCCATACACGTTTGTTTTCCATTTTCCTTTTGTTTCAGTCTGGACCTGCAGCAGTGTTTCAAGTCTCTGCCCTTTCTTGCAGGTAAGTGCTATTGTAGTTTAGTATGGTTCTTTTAGCGAACATTAGTGTAGGTCCTGCCGAATATGTGGTACATTGGCGTTGTGGCAGGCTTATGCAATGTATGATCATATAATGTAACTAAATCCCCATACTTTTCATATATAGTGCTTAGTTATGTCTCCTCTTGTTTTGCCTATTATATCTTGTCTTGTTTTATTTTGTAATCCCAGTTCATGTACAGTCCTGTCCTGCCCTGTTCTTGTTTTCCTCATGTCTTGTGTACATGTTCCCTGTTCTGCTTCCTATCCTTCTCTGGTTCTGGGTTCTACTAGTTCTGTCTTGTTTTCATGTTTGGTGCCTGTTCTAGCCTTGCCTTGTTTCTGTACTGGATACATGTCTGCTGCAGAGCCCCCCGATCCAGTTCCTGGGAGGTCTGCATATCAAGCTCCTAGATCCTGGGATCCGCTGTAGCTGCATCAGCAGGGCCGGACTGGGGAAAAAATTCGTCCCGGGCATTTTTAATTACAGCGGCCCACTGAAAAGGGGGCGGGGCCAGATAGGGTGTGTTTTGTCATCCCCAATGACAAGCACGCCCCATCTCAAAGTGAGCATGTTGGTTCAATGCTCTTCTAGGGCATGAGAAAAGGGCCCTGTATTTGATCTGCACAGCGCAAGCAAATTTAATAACATGCTTGCATTGTGTTTGCTTGAAACATGTCTCAGGGGTTTCCATAATTGGAATACTCACTGTATCCCATTTATGGAGACACTATGTGTTTGCTTAAAGGGTATCTAGTGTGTTCATAGGGGATCCTGAGTGTGTATGTCAGAAATGTAGTGTGTGTGTAAGTGGTGCAGCATCTGTGTGTAGGGGATCTAGTGTGTGTTTGAAGGACTCAGGAGTGCGTATAGGAGATCTAGTGAGTGTGTGAGTGGTGCAGTGTGTTTGGGGGGTGCTGTGTGTGTGAGGGGTGTAGTGTGCATTTGTGAGGAGTATAGTGTGTGTGGGAGGGTGCTGTGTGTGTGGGGGGGTGCAGTATGTGTGTGTGGGGGTGCAGTATCTGTGTGTGATGGCGCTGTGTGTGAGGGCGCTGTGTGTGAGGGCGCTGTGTGTTAGGGCGCTGTGCGGGGCTTCTGTGTATTTGAGGGTGCTGTGTGAGTGAGGGTGATGTGTGTGTGTGTGGGGGGGGTGCTGTGTGTGTGTGCTGGGGTGCTGTGTGAGTGTTAGGGTGCTGTGTGAGTGTTAGGGTGCTGTGTGTGTGTTAGGGTGCTGTGTGTATGTTAGGGTGCTGTGTGTGTGTTAGGGTGATGTGTCAATGTTAGGGTGCTGGTGTTAGGGTGCTGTGTGTGTGTGTTAGGGTGCTGGTGTTAGGGTGCTGTGTGTGTGTTAGGGTGCTGTGTCAATGTTAGGGTGCTGGTGTTAGGGTGCTGTGTGTGTGTGTGTGTTAGGGTGCTGCGTATGTGTTAGGGTGCTGGTGTTAGGGTGCTGGTGTTAGGGTGCTGGTGGTAGGGTGCTGTGTGAGTGCTACGGTGCTGTGTGTGTGTTAGGGTGATGTGTCAATGTTTTGCCTAGGGCGGCAAAAATCCTTGCACCGGCCCTGGATAGGGGAGTGGGAAGAAAGAACGAGACCTTCGGAGAACTGGCTTGCTGACTAGTGCCGAGGCAAAGAACTTAACTATATCCAAGTGACAGGTGAGGCCCTGCTAATGCCAAGTAGCGGTGAGAGGCTCTACCTATGATTTGGGCCGAGGGAAATCGTGGCCACGAAACATGGTGGTGGGATGTTGGCCTCTTGGTGACCATAGGAGAATCAAATACGTGTAGCCGTGACTTGGGAAACCCTAGCTGTAGCCCTAAAGAAGGGCATGCGAGGCGGCTAACTATGATTTTGGCCATGGGGCTGAACCTCCGTGTTGTGGTGGGGAGTAGGCCTCGCGGGACTGGTGCACTTACTTAGGGTTGCTAAGGCCAGCACCTATCCCTGTATGCCAGTTCTCTAAACCTGATTGGGCTTGTCTCCTTAATGCTGTGACCGAACACATGTAGATGCTAACCTTGAGTATTACTCTTATCACTTAATGTGTGATACGGTAGGTCGTGGATACGAATTGCCTCGGAAGAATAACTGGTCCGGCCAAGGTATCCTAGGGATAAGATAGATGCTAGTGGGCCCAAAGTGTGCTGGTATGTATGATGTATGTAAAAATGTCAAACATATGGAGAGATGTGTATCAATGATACTGTAACATAAGAACCCGTGTAAGATGAGGGACTTGAACGTTGGTCCATACCTAGAGGCAAGCCCAGGGTTACCATAATTTAAGAATGTACTGAAGGAAGGCTGAGTGAGGCCTTTAGGAAAATCGTAGTGAGTAAGATTAACAATACCTGGTACTGAAATACAGGATACCAGGTTGGCTTTTGGTGGTTTAAAGCATAGAAACTTGAAGAGACTGCAGTATTGACGCAGGTCTAGGTAATAAACGTAGAAACAACAAAACAAGTGATGCACGGTTGTTAAATTTGTAGAAGCAGAGTAACATTGGTCGGGAGGGGGATTATGGGTGAGCTCGTGGTGAGGGATCTCCAGGGCCGGCGCTTCTTATAAGGCGAACTAGGCAGCCGCCTAGGGCGCCATATAGGAGAGGGCGCCCTGATCGCCGGCCCTTTAAATGCTGCAGCCGCCTGAGCGCTCTGTAGAGAGTGCTCAGACGGTTGCCGCACTGTCTCACCTCCCCTTCCCTGTAGCGTGGCCGAGCTCCTCTCTGGTCCGCGACCTGGCCGGACTGTGGGGGAGTAGAGAAGATTACAGGGAGGGGGGGAGGAAAAGGGAGTGGGAGGGGGGAGTGGAGAAGATTAAAGGGAGGGAGGGGAGTAGATTAGGGAGGGAGGAGGAGTGGAAAGATTAAAGGGAGAGGGGGGAGTGGAAAAGAATAAAGGAGGGAGGGGGGAGTGGAAAAGATTAGGGAAGGGGGAGTGGAAAAGATTAAAGGGAGGGAGGGGGAGTGGAGATGATTATGGGGAGGGAGGGGGAGTGGAGAAGATTACAGGGAGGGGGGAGTGGAGAGATTACAGGGAGGGGGGGAGAAGATTACAGGGAAGGAGAAGAAGAGAAGATTACCAGGAGGGGGGGAGAAGAGAAGATTGCGGGGGGAGAAGAAGAGATTTCAGGGAAGAAAGGGGGGAGAAGAAGAGAAAATTACAGGAGGTAGGGGAGAAGATTACAGGGAGGGGGGAAGAAGAGGAGAACACAGACACACACAATGCAACCCTTACACATAAAGACAATGCATCATTTGCACATATACACAGAAACACACAATGCATCCCTTACACACACATGCAAACACACACTGCTTCTCTTACACACACACAGAAACACAATGCATCTCTTACACACACTCAACACACCCCTTACAGACACACACTGCATCCCTTACATACACAGAAACACACTTTGCTCCCTTATGCCTACAAACACAGATTCACACAATGCATCCCTTACACACAACAAGAAACACAAAATACATCCCTTATACACAAACACACACTGCTTTCTATCCCTTACACACAAACACACTGCTTCCACTACACACAAACACACTGCATCACCGACACAAACTGGTATCCCTATACACTACATTCCATAAGCACACACATTAGAAATCTTTCTTTTGCCTAGGGTGGCAAAAATCCTTGCACCGGTCCTGGGGGTCTCATCGTGGCCCATGCAGAAGTTTAGAAATCAGCCTGGGGGGTTTCCGGTGGAGGCTGAATGAGGCCTTGGGGAAAGATAAATGTAACGAGTAAACTATTATACTTGATACTGTAAGACAGAATACCGGGTTGACACTTCCTGAAGTATACTTGATGGAAATGCTGGGGAGCCTTAAATCATGACATAGAGCTAAGTTCCGTAACAAGTATAAAGCTGAGAGAAACAGTGAGTGAGTGATCGTGCTTTTGGTCAGTAATGTGCATGACGTAAAATGAACCGTGGTGGTTGAATTTGGGAGATAGGCGTGAGAAGTTGTGCGTGCTTATCCTATAGAGAAGTCGGCTGGATAAGGAACATATCATTTATAAACAGAAGAGTCAACGGCAATTAATGAAAGGCTAATTATTCAGAATCATGCCTCCATATTATGTAAAAGTAAATTAATGATAACCTGTGCAACTAATCTAACTGGAGAAAAGTGAATGAAAAATGAAGGCCCCTTAAAACTGTATAAATGAAAACATGCAGTTAATTGGGTGAAAGACCATTAGGTGTAGTGATCTGTTCGTTTGTATGAACGAACGGTATAACAGGTTATAACATGGTGCAAGATAAGGGGCTTTAATCAGTGAAACAGGCTGGTGTTCGGATAAAAATACACAAAATGTAGGAACTGCATGCATACATATTGTCTGCGGTCGGCTGTTTGACCGCACAAAATAATGAACGAACGGATGTATACCCTGCGGTCGAATGTTTAGCCGCACGAACCGTTGACGTGCACAAACGGGTAAGTATGTGATTTTCACAGTGAGAAGCGCGCAAACGCCTCTAGCGGCTGTCAATGAGACAGCCACTAGAGGCTTTAGAGGCTGGATTAACCCATTTATAAACATAGCAGTTTCTCTGAAACTGCTATGTTTATAAAAAAAGGGTTAATCCTAGAGGGACCTGGCACCCAGACCACTTCATTAAGCTGAAGCGGTCTGGTTGCATAGAGTGGTCCTTTAAATATTACATTCTACTTCTTCATTTAACCCATAAGGGTTGAGAGTATTTAGCCGAAAGATCCACTTGGTTTCAGCGGTGATCAAGGCTAAATTCCTATTGCAAATCTTCTCAGGGATATGCTCAATACCCATCACTACTATTTGAGCAGGATTACTTTCATGGGCCATTTGAAAATGCCTAGCCACCGGGAATTTCCTACCTTGATTACGAATGGCTAACCTATGTTCCCTAAACCTGGCTTTCAAAGGTATAGAAGTCTGACCTACATATATTAAGCCACAGGTGCACTTAAGTAAATACACCACAAATGACGTATTACACGTTATTCTAATGGGTACCTGAAATCTCTCATTATTGGACTATGAGGAAAAGTCCGACTTCCTGTGGCATATATATATATATATATATATATATATATATATATATATATATATATATATATTGGCAAGTAAGGCCAATGGTTTTTACTATATGTATTTTGGCTGATGTGTACTATAGTCATTGCTGCCGCCCAGGAGTAATGGGAGTTTGAGCACAGGACTAGTTTCTTAATGTTTATAAATAAAACTATGCCCTCTGTCACCAGATCATTTTGGTGGCCATCTCTTAGAAAACACATTAGAGAATATGTGGAAGCATGTACTATTTGTGCGGTTTCTAAGGTACCTCATAAACAGCAATGTGGGTTATTGCAACTGCTTCCTATACCCAATATTCCATGGTCCCATTTAGCAATGGACTTTATTGTGGAACTCCAGATTCCAAAAGGCTAGAACACCATTCTAATGGTTGTTGATCGTTTTTCTAAAATGGCACATTTCGTTCTCAAGAAGTTACCTTCCTCCCAAGAACTAGTTCATATATTCATATGCAAAATATTCAGGTTGCATGGCAATCCGTGGAATATTGCTTCTGACAGGGGCTCTCAGTTTGTGTCATGGTTATGGAGAGCATTCAATAAACAGTTGGTTATTGATTTATCATTTCCATCTTCTTATCATCCTCAAACCAATGGTGCAGCTGAAAGGGCTAACCAATCTTTGTAACAGTATTTACGGTGCTTTATAAATAGCACACAGGAGAACTGGTCAGATCTGAATTTGATAGAAATAATGTTACCCATGATTCCTCTGATCTTAGTCCGTTCTTTGTCAACAATGGTCGTCATCCC